CTCCCACGGGGCCTCCGTTCGCGCGACTGAAGGACTCGGGGATGAGTGACAAGGGCCGAAGCGCGGGCGCAACCGAGACGGCACCGATGAATCCGCCAGTGGCCTTTCCAGCCTTTGCCTCTCTCTCGTTGGTGCGCCACGCAGTCAAGCCACCCTCGCTGTGTCCAACCACGACCCATTCCTTGGACAGCCGCTCACCAAGGGCTTTGCGAGCTGCCTGAAGGCTGTGGCTGACATCAGCAGCATGAAGTGCTCCCGACTCATACATGAAGCCTTGGGGAATGTCAGTACCCTGACCAGCATAGTCGGGCGCGATGACGGCGTATCCGGCCTGAGCGAGGATGAAGGGCGCTTCCCACTCATAGTAGAGTCCTCTATGATTGGTCGGCGCACACTCGCGACTGTAGCCCGCGGTTCCGTGGGCCCAGACGACGGTACGGAAGGGCTTGTCTTTGCCCTGGGGGTTCGACCATGGAAGCAGGGCGAAGGCGGTAACGGGAAGGGGCTTGCCGTCGATATCTTCGCTCATGTAGAAGAAGCGGGAGAGGGACATGCCGGCGGGGACGGTCCAGATCTTAGCGGCCTGGGTGCCCGTTAGGTCTTGCCATTTGACCAAGTCTCCGACAGCGTAGTCTGAGAGGTTCGAGGGGTTGGCATAGAAGGAATCGACGTTGACGTCCACATTGACCCAGTCCTTGGTCTCGATAGCTAGTGAAGAACGGTACGCAGCTTCGCAGTTCTCATCACAGTTGCTGCGAAAGTCTTGGGCTTGGGCGCTGATTTGAAGCGATGAGATGGCTAACCACCCAAGGGCTAGGGACCGTATAGCCATCTTGGTTCGAAAAGAGAGTGAGGAGATGAGGAGAAGAGATGCAGAGTTGAAGAGCTTGATGCTTTGGAACTTCGAGAAAACCTGGCGTCTGCGAGCTGATCTTTATATCGCCCCAAAGCAACTGTACCGATGCCGGGGGCCGATATCAGATGCCGTAGCCCAGTTCAATGAATGGCTATCTAGGTAAGGGTTGTCCACATTCACCACGACGTTGCGGTTCTGTAAGCGAGATGCTGGGCTCTTGGCGACATGCAATGAAGAGCCGTGAGGGGCAACGAGGCATACAGTATACTACTGAATGTGGAACTAAAGAGTTCCCAGCGATTCATGACCGATATTCTTGATGGGATGGGCTCTCTGGGAGAAACTGTTGGTGGCGCCTCATGTTTCCAACGTGGCAAAATTTGCATTCATACCACGGAATTCCTGCACGTCAACATTATCAAACATGGACAAAAAGAATATCAAAAGGCGTCCTTGAAACATTTCTGTCTCTTTGCGAATAAGAGTTTAAGGTTATTCCCTTGTTCATATCCAAAGAAAAATCAGATGATGTACCCGTAGCTTAAGCAGCATGGCAGGTTGGGGTGATCATCAACTAACCCATTCCAGCAGGTCGAACCGCCAATAGGATGGTTGCATGACGTCGAGTGGAGAGGGACGCGAGTCTATTGACAGTGGCTGTGAAATGCTCCGATCTAAAGCGTACCTTATCAACAGGCCCCGCAAAGTCCGGTTTACGGTGGCCGAGGGAACCGGAATGATTTGATGGAAGACTATTGAGCGATTCAATATCAAAGTACTAAGCTCGATTTTAGCCAGAAAGCGGAATGAGAGACAATACAACCGATATCGGCAGGGCCATTATGGTATTGACTGCGTACGTCTTTGTCATCATATTTACATGATTGCTATTAATTGGATGAATCAAAGACTTCGAAGTTTTAGTACACTACCTTACTCGACCTGAACTAACGGCGCTTGATATGAGATAAACATGATAAGGGGAACTGAAAGGAGGAACTGTGAAGGCAGTTATCGTTTGTTCTGTGTCTTATCTCTCGGAGAATGACAGCATGTTACACCTTAGCCGCATGACATATAGCAACGCACTTCGCCATGTGCCAATAAACAAGGCTTTATGTGTCTAACTCTCATACTACCTAGGTAAGTTCATGTCAACTGCCATTCTCAAACCTCAACGCGGCGGGAATCCAGATTATGGCTAAGCATTCACTCTTGCGGCCCACATCTACCATATTTCTCGTTGATTTTGCATCTCTTGTCACCATTTCTAGCTGCTAAATGTCAGTAACTTGTAGGATCCAGCCATTTGCTAAGAAGATGCAAGTAAATCCACACTTCATAAAACAGCCGTCTTCCAGTGCCGTGGTTAGGACATACAAGACAGTCTGAATCTTTGGGACACAGTCTTAGGTGAGACATCAGTAAGATATACACGTCAACTTTTTCGTAGCTAACTTCAGGCAAGGTTGAACTTACCACTAGCGCTGCCTTGACTATTGACCCCAGCGCTGAACATGAAAACAAAGGTACCGACTGAGAGATAATCGAGCAACGCATTGTGGTGACCCAGACTATTCCTCAAATAAGATTATGAGTAGAGAAATTGACACAAGGCAAAATATACGAAAACCGGCCGCACGCAGTTAACTAATACCCTTGTGAAGATGTCAACCTTTCATCGTAGAGATGAAATGTCATCCATATATGATAACAACAACTGCCTTAATACTCCTGCCCCGTCGTAATTGGCTCGGAGATATCAAAGCTCACCGGTTGAACCCGGCATCATTAATTTTACACGTATATTCAGTGCAAGACCGATAAAACTCCATGCGCGGCCTGTCCTGTCCAAGTTCCTGAATCGAAGCTGAATCAGGTATCTTCACTCAAGTGACTGCTAGGCTCGTGGTCTAATCACACCTCAAGCTTGACCAATGCTACAGCATAATTTTAAGGTAGGAGCATCACCTAATGCACCATAATTTCGTCTTTACAAACTGAGTGTCACGAGATATTTGCAAGCCTTCAGAGTGTATTGAGATATCATTGCTGCTCCGAACGATTAGAACTAGGAAACATCTTCCTCGCCGAGCTCGAAGTATCCCTAGGGGAAAAGTTCCTGAAAGATGAACGGTATTGCGAACTTGATAAAGTAGACATGTATTTCCCAATATCCCCCTCAAATCTGATAAATCTCGTATTTCTGAGGTAGGTTGACTAGAAACACGTCGTATTTAATTCGCGAAAGAAATCTGGTAAGGTCCGGCCCCGCGGGTAAAGTAGCGGTTCAAATCGCAGTCCGCCCCAGGCGCGAGGACGAGTCCCATAAAATCGTTGTAGCTCTCTTCGATGCGGACACGAACCGACTTGGTGCCTCTGTTCTTGAAGTTGTAAGTGATGTCGTCGTCGCAGTCGCCGTCCGGATCGCAAGAGTCTCTGCTCTTCTGCATCTTGACGGAGATGGTTGTCCCGGCCCAGTCGTAGTTGTTTGTCTGCCCGACTCTTGTAGGTGCTACGCGATACTTGTTGTGCAGGTAAGGTCCGTCACCGCCTCCGCTGCGAGGGCACTCCGCTGCGGCGCTCACCATGCCGAGGATGGCGAAGAAAGGGAGAGAGGCAGAGATTTGCATTTTTGTAGAGACCGTGGGATCTGATATTTCAGTTTTTGATGTCAGTATTTGTATCATCGAGGCTTCTCTGGGGGCATACTGACTTGTAAATGAATGACAATGTGGTTCTGGTAGAAGCCTACTAATGAGTGTGATGTCTTGCAACAGATGGATGTAGCCTGTCAGACAAGTACGATTACAGATTCGAAGGGGCTCACAAGCAGTACATATACCCAGAAATGCTGGCTTATAGTTAACAATTCCACCAAATATTCCAACGGTCTGGATGCCACTCTAAGAGCATGTCCTGGATTAAATTGGCCGCTGTCATAGCTTAAAGCTTGTTAGATACAACCTGACTCCTCAATACTGCAGATTCGCCTCGTCTCGGGATGTAGAGCTGGCTTGAAATGACAAGCTCGACCAGCCTCGTTCAATTCGGATACATTGCAATCCTTCAATCTCAAGTAAATTGAAAGACAACTTGACAGTTCCTCTGTTGTCGCGACTGGTCTAGTGAATCGCACCAACTATCGGCCAAAGGCTTGGCACCGTGCTCAACAGCGATTTTGACTTCGTTGTAATATCGTGAGATTCGGGTTATTACAGCAATGACTCGCAATGCGGTCAACTCAAATTTCTGCTAGACCGGGCCTGAAGTCCGGGGCCGAAATAAGAAGCGAAGCTCGTCATTTGTCTAACACATAAGTACTTAGGACAGACAGTGGAGTTCCTAGTTCCTAAGATGATCTTCGATCAACATTAAAGACCAAAGTTCTCACCATTAGATCAACGACGAGGCACCAAAGAGATTTCCAAGGACCACATCGAGGCTCTATGCCTCAAGGAATCTGGTGTGTTCAAAGTCCCACCCGCGTCACACTTTTGCCATGAGGCGAAGTCACTTTACCTAGTTCACTTGTCAAAGTCAACTGCCTTACTCCGTGATACGTGTGATACTTCTTGTAATCTTACTTGCCTCCCGCAGACATTGCGCTCCCTGACTCATGTCGGGACGAATACGTGTACGCGGATAGCTCCATATTAAGACGCGCATTTAGCTTTGGGCTATGAACTCAATCTACCAACGGCCTCCCCGTCGGCGCGATAGCAGTCCTTTTCGAGAGATCATTCCCGCCAAGGGCATGCCATCATTGGTCAAAGGCGACATCAATTTTTTCAACACTTTTCGCCTTGCACTAAAAGAAAGAAAGAATTCGTAATTTAACTCTGTTGATCCGCGCCGGAACATCATGGAACCTATAACATTGGCCAGCCTCATCTCAGATAAAGATATTACTGTGACGTTGAGGGCCATACCAGGTTAAAGCCTGAGACCTAGGTAGTCGCTTCGAGACGTAGTCTATATATAAATGGGACAAAGCAGCCACAGTTTGACACATCCGTTTCTCTGACCTCCGTCCAGAAAAAGAAGGGTATTTAACTCATAGGATCGACAAAGTTAACAAGCGCTTTTCGGGAGCATCGACTTTATCAGGTCCAGCTGTTCTCCACCCCTACCAGTGGAACCGTTACTCGATCGCGGGCGCCAAAGTGACGACTGCCCAATGCACCTGAGACTTCTCATCCTTCAACGGTGTCCAGTGCGTGACAAACCTCTCGTCGCCACGGAACAGCGCACTCCTTCGAGTCTGTAGTCGGACCTCGACGCTGATGGGCGATCCGGTGCGAAGGGCGTTGCGTACGCGCGTCTTGTAGTCGGACTGGTGGTTGACCATGTTCTGCTTGAGGAAGCGGAAGACCTCCTGGCCCGCGACTAGGCCGACTGTATTGTTGGCGGGGTGCAGCATTTCCAGGACACCTTCGGAGTAGAATTTGATTATGAAAGAGTCGTAGCTGACAATCAGGTACTGAGACGTTCAAATTAGTAAGGATGATTTACTGCTAGGAGGTAGCAAGCTCAGGGGAGCAACTCACTTTCGAATAAGCAGTGTAAAACTCCTTCATCTGAGCGCTCAAGTCGCGTCCTTCTAGCTTGTGAAGCAATTTGCTCTCCATGCCCGGGTCGGCGGCGATCCCGTTTGGTGCATGGTCGTCGCTGACCTTCATCCCGAGGGCTTTCAGGAATGCTTTTCGAGCCGAAGGTTGAGAACCTGCGCGATGTAGTGGTGCCGGTGGTACCTTGGTATCCTGGGTTTGTACGTCGTCATTGGTAGATGTCGACAGAACTCTCATCACATCCGCGTTGCTATGAATCGTCGTTGAGCAATTGATCTGGCCGCCGATGAAGAAGGCTAGTTTCCCGGCTTCATTGTAGAGAGGAGCTGTGCAGAGGAATCAGGTCAGCTCAACTAAGACTTGACATGAAGATGTATGTGTGCTCATTCGAGTGCCTGTAACATGGCGCTTGGGTAGGATCGCCGTCATTCTCGGCCAAGTTTACATATACTTACCGACATAGAGCAAGTTCCAGAAAGGATCTCCGTTCTTCTTATAGTTCAGGATGAGTTCAACAGACTCCTTGCGCTCATCGATAGCGTTCTTTAATCGTCGGACAGGAACGCGATCGGTATGTGCTCCCTGGAGGAATCTACAGTTTCGCGGAATGATTTCGGGTCTAGTATAGCCAGTGACTTTGATGAATCCATCTGACGCAAAGACAATTGGGTTATCTGCAAGACTTTACTCAAGAATTAGCAAACATGCGCAAGAGAGGCATATGAAGGCGTCAAGTTACCCAGGATTTGTCAAGCAAAAGCAGTCACCGAGTCCTTGATAGCTATGCCGGTTGGTAGCTAACGCCCTCGTCGCGCTGAGTGCCATCTGATAGCGCACAAATCGAGGATAGATATCCAAGAAGACATCCTGTTCAACGCTCTCCTGAAGATCTGTAAACAGTGTTTCCATGGATGGAAGTGTCTTTGTAACCAACGACTTCATGTCACCGTGGACGGACTTTCTCAATTCCCCGTTGACGTTGATCTGCTTTGACGAGTCGTCGGCGAGGAAGTCCTTATGAATGCTCGTCATAATACCTGCAAGGTCATTGAGAACTGTTTGGTATTGCTCAACCTGTAATGTGAAGGCGCTGTCAGTGACCATGCTTGGAGATACTGCACTGGTATTAATCACTCACCTTTTTGAGAAATTCGACACTCTCGCTGCAGAAACGAGCTTCGCTGAACTTCAGCAATTGATGCACAGTCGTTGGGTTATGCAGAACAACCTGGAAGATACCAGGTCCGAAGAAATCAACAGTACGGTTCGACGACCCGTTGCTTGTGATGCTTTGCTTCGAGATTGATTGTCTCGAAACCGAAATAGAATCATCGCTCATTGCCCTCCGTGCCGCCGTCGACGGTCGATAATCTGACGTCAGGGTCGAGCCCCCGAGACCGTTCTTTACACTGTAGTCTAAAGCCTCCTCTTCCATATCGGAGTACTGCTGCTTATTGTACGTCTGCCTTCTAGCAGCGCGCGACATCTGATGCGGGCGTCTCTGGCTGATTGGTGGAGGTTCGGCGTCCAGGTATAAGCGATGATGATCAAGCACCGGCGTCCTGAGCTCTCTCTTGTGTGCGGCGAGGGATTCAGCTGCTCGAGACCGTGGAGGTGGCTGAGATGATTGACGCGACGTAGTTCTCGAGGTGGTCGGTCGGCCACGGGTCTGGCGATTATGCGCCGGCGGCGGCCGAGAGTCTTCCGTCGGTACGTGGATGGCAGTGACGGGGGTCGTTGCTATGCTTCGGTGCCCATTGCGCGTGTCATTGTGGTAGTCGTGGTATCCGTGGTCTTCTTCCTCGTCGACGCGGTCTTGGTGCTGGTCCTCTTCTTCCTCAGAGTCGTCGTAGATGATCCTGTGCGGTCGTCGACCTCCTATCGGGGGAGGTGTTGCTGAGCGGACAGCACTGGAGGATCGCACCATGCTCTGATGGGAGAGTTCCTCGTCTTCTGCGACTTGTGCCAAGAGTCTCTTTGCAGCCTCGATCTCCTCGGCGCGCGGGGGTCGCTGCGGCGTATTGTAATCGTGTCGCTTGAGCACTCGGTCGGGGCTGTCAATGCTAGCTCGATCGGGACGAGAAGACTGGCGTGGAGGCACAGCTACGGTGTCCCTGTCAGACTTGGTGTAAAGCCGCCGTGATGGTGAGTAATCCCGGGATACGATGTCTGTCCGAGACAGAGGACGGGAAGGGCGACTGAGTTCTGTGCTGTCTCTCGCTGAATGAGATTTTCCGTTTGCCCCCGTTGTCCCATTTCTTTCTTGTCTTCCTAAGGCGGTATCCCGGAGTCCATCGGAGTCCTTTCCGGTTCCTCCTAGCATCAGACTAGACTCCGATAGAGACCGCCGGAACTGAGGACGTGAATGTTCTTCATCGCTGTCTTCAGAGTCTTGGCCAATGGCGATGCGCGCCGTCTCGATGGCCGTGGTGTCTACCCGTGGCAGGACTCGCGTGAAGAGCTCGTCGTCGATGGGCCCTGTGGGAACTGACTTTGCAGCGTTTCCATTCCCGGAGCGAGAGTAGGGCGGACCGTCATGATCGACGTCATAGCCAGGCGCCATGGCTTAGTGAAAGACTGCTCTTTGGCTCAAAAACAAGAATGTCGCTTAATCAGAAGTGGACAATACTTTCTTCGCTAGTAGCGGAAGCAAAACCTTGCTCGTTCGGATGGCACGCGAATGTCTCAACTTGCTGCCATGTGAGTGGACGTTTTCAGAGAAAGAAGGAAAAAGAAAAGCCTTTCCGAGAGGAACACAAAGAGGGCGTTTGGCGTTTTCTTGAACCAGCTCCAACTTGCCACGGAGCCAGCCCGCGCAACCTAAGCCCCGGCAAGAATTTTGATATCTCCATCCTACCATGCACGCTCGAGCAGTCTCGTCCCAAACCACATTTCCGGCACTTGGCGTCAAGCAGGGGAATGCTCGCCACGGAGAGAGGGGTTGGACCCATTGAAACCTGTTTTCACCCTCCGCGAACTATTATGGCAGAGGAGCCTTGGTGATAGCGAATGGCTGAATTGAGCGCAAGATTGGACGACAGGGCAGAAATCCGCGGTCCAGGTACCTCGTTAGCTTGTGCTTGGACCGCGACTTGGTGGGCGTTTGGCTGGGTGTAGCTTGCAAAACAGGGTGACATTTGTCTCCGGAACCTGGTCCCGTCCCCGATTTTCGAGTCCGGCTGCTCTAGCATCACTACGTTTTTGCATGAAGGAAAAGACTCCTGTTGAACGTGGGATCCCCACCATCCGAGGCTGTGTTTGCTGCTCAGGGTTCGGTGCTTCCTTTGCGCTAATTATCAGACCGTCCTTGAGGCCTAGATTCCGTCCTTCTTCTCCAGCCCAACGGGGCGGCGGCATCGTTGCTGACAACTCGACGATTGAGTCCCTTCATGTCAGGAACCCGGAGATTGTGGGGTTCGTCGGAGATGGGCGTCAACGTGCACATCACCTCGTGTTGTTGAACAGGGATTAGGAGATCACCGATACCCGAGGTGGAAACCTGCCATCGATAGCCGGTTCAACTCCTATCAACACGAAAACTAGGCTTTCTAGCAGACAATAAATGTGACCAGATCACGCCAGATTCAACGGCGCTTGGCATTGTTACAGTATCGACAATGTAGATCTGTGTGATTCGCGATTCGCCAAAGGTTGTGTTGCGATTGTTACTTTCCGAGGATCTCAGAGTATGTTCGCTGCGACCGCAGGTAGGATCGCCGATCTACTCTTGGTCTCCAACTCGCAAACAATTCAGTCCGGGTCAATAGGAATGTCCGCCAAGAGACTCTCCTCTGAAAATACTATGCACAACAACGTTTTGATCCACTCGCGTAGAGATGAAGCATGTTTGCTCCGCAAGATGGCGTTCTGGGACGGTTATTTTGCTCGGGTACCGGGAATGACGTGCCATTCGGCATCTCATGTGTCAATATCAGCGATGGTCTATACCTCCATAGTTGCCTACCGTGGTGATTGTCGCGATACCTGCTGCAATCTCAATCATCCGCGAGAGCCCGAGCGCCCTCTCTCTCTCTGGCTCTCAGCCAGATGGCCGTGAGATGAATGGTGACGCGGAGGATGCAATGTAACCCTGCACACATGGGTGTGGCCCTGTGGCCAGACCATCGAGTGCTACATGACGACACGATGATGGGGCTCGAGCGTTGAAGAATTGTTTGTTGGCTAGTGAAGGATCCGGGCTGGTAAACACTTCCGTCTCGCAGCGCCCAAGCTTCCTAGCTTCCTCTCGTTGGAAACCCTTTCTTGTTGGCTTGCTTGCTCAAGAATCAGAAGATGCTGTGAAGGCTTGACTCGACGGAGCAGGATCCGACCAGCGTTTTCTTTCTTCGATGTGTGCCTTATCCCAGCCCTGAAGTCCCTGAATTTCTGGGATCAGACCTCGGTCCGACTCATACAAACTTGCAACTCGGTAGGGATGGGTTCGTCTCAATTTAGTTGATCGGGGCGTGCGCAACATTAGCCACGGGAAGTGGGAAGAGTGACCAATAACATGAGCCTAGAAATGGAGCTTGGGTCCAGTCTTCATGCCCAAGTGAAAATTCCCGTGGAGTGACAGCGGCGACCAGGAATGCCAATGCAACCTTCCCGGCGCTTATGTGACCACAGCAGAGGAATAAGCATCTATCCACGATCGATCTGGAAAGTGAGAAGTGACCACCAGATTTGGGGACAAAGGAAAGATTGGGATGACTTTCGTGGGGTTTATCTAAAGTCAGCAAGGAGCGCTCACGTGGCACTCAATGTACTACCTTACTTAGGTGAACACATGGACTCAACCTCTTGACGTGGGACGTATCCATTCAGGTCCTTGGAATGAATTTTGGTGTGGTTGGCTACCTCAACCTAGAATTGCCATGGAACGCCACAACAGAATTTCGCATTGGTATCCCGGCCCGGTTCAGCCATTCTGAGAGTATATGTGGCCCCCACAAGACACGGCCAGTGAAAAGATGTAAAAGAAGGCTTCCTGCTATTCGCACTAGCTTTCTCCGACCCGGGGAGGCCCGTTAGTAGAATCATTGTGAATCACAGCGCTCTTGGTGTTATGGAGCTGCTATATTTGACGTTTAGGCTCATGTGGAGATTTCGAAAAACACCTTACGAGGTACATCAACTGCGATGGCCAGAACTATCATTAGCTGATTGTGCGGTATGAATTCTAAACCACATGGTCGAGGCACAAGCTATCGCCTCACGTCTGTCAGATCAACGTTGGCATGCTGTGAGGTATTGAACCCTCCATCGCATGTACCTTCAGTGAGGGCACAGGCTGAGGCATTTCACAGATGTGACGACAATCATGTTCAATCTTGCTATCATGCAAGGATGACAACTTGAGCCCTCGAGTGCCCAGCTCTTTGGTCTTGGATTTGGATTTGAAAGACAAGGCTGGCCGACATACGTTATAATATCCACCATGCATGGTCCGTGCCATGCGCCGTACGACTAGCTGCACGGTAGAAAATCGGAAAACTTTGGCCGGAAACGATGATGCAAAATATGTGTTGAATTTCAGGTCGATTCCGTCGGTTTAGTCCGCTTTTGAATCGGGCAATCCCGAGTTCCTCAGTTGGACTGTATAGGTGTTTGTTCCACCATCTGTTGTGTTGATACAATCAATCTCATGCTACCTTTCTTTACTTTCAGGACAAATGAGACGCGCAGACACCCCGCGCGAGCATTTGTGATCTAAAATGTAGACAGTGTAGTTGAGCCAATGTGAAGATGGGGAAGAAGTGCTAAATTAGGCAGAGAGAGGCTTTCTAACGATGTTATGTATGGCGACTAAAGACGGAGATCTTTCGAAACACTTCCTAAACTTAGCACATACACTATACTAGATAGAATATATCTACTAATGGCAGCCGTCTGAATTCTGAGAAATCATGAGTACCTGAGGAGCTAGAGAAGCAATCAAACGACCTTAATTAAGACGTCGTGACTGGGTTCGGAGATTAATCCAAACGGCGAGCCGTGGTTCCAGATTTATGGAAGCAAACACCTATAACGAGTCCGCAGAGTTAAACGGGTGACTATTGTGTCCCCGGTAACTTCATATAGACCGATGGTATCTGCAATAGATTCAACTCCAGTCTCTGTGACTCAATCATGGTATAAATGACCATCAATCTATGATCAAGATCTCTCGGCAACGTCGATCCACGTGATTCTCAAGGTACGACTCATTTACGGGCTAGGGCCATGCAACCCAGTCTGGGAGTAAACGATGCTGGTTACAGTATCAAAAGAACTCATCAAGAGCTGCTACAGATACGCACTGCTTTCTTGAACTCTGTATTTCGTGCTCTTTGGGGAAAAGAAAGCAAACCTAGAAAGTGGCTGATCAGACCGTTGTATATAGAAACATCGAACGGCACATCCTTCATATGAACCCAATCATTATGACGGCCACCGAGAGGGTTTAACCTGCAGACGCTTACAACTTGGCACACCGGAAGGAAGGACCCGATGAGCCAGTGTCGCTGCGTCACTGCTTCTGACCCGCGCACTTACATGTATGATGGAGCGGTGTCTTCACCCTTATGAACGTTTCAGGCGGGATTGTACTTAGCGTTGGGGTACTGCAAGCGTTCTGCGGGGATCAGGGCCTGGTAGCTAAAACGTCATGTTGACGTTCAAATGGTTCTGTGACGAGTATCATGAGACGAGGTCTTCAGTGGGGTGGGCTTCAGCGGCTGCAGAGCTTCCGTCAGAGTGATGCTGCGGGTACCTGCCCAGTTCCAGCTCTGATCCCATCTCCCCAGATGTTGTCATGCAAGTGGGAACAGAACGGGCTGGAGCTTGAAGATCGAGGTCATGTGGGTTTTCAGTAACAGGGGCACTAGGTATGGCAGTCTCGAATGTATTTGTGATCATGGCCAATGTGGCCTTGAATGTGCGAACTTTAAGTTTTTACAAATACATAAAGTAGTTCAGCTCAAAGTTGCTCGACTCTGGGCAATGAGCCCTTGGAAGCTTAAAAAGTAGAAATCAAAGTCCAACGCCATTTATATGCAAAGAGATGCTCTTGTGATCGTTATCAATCGTATTTACTGCTGGCTGCCAACGTAGTTCTCGCTAGTTGCGTCACCGACAGTGATGGTAACGTTGTAGTTGGACAGGGTCGAGGACGAAGAGGCGCCGTACAAGCTGTACAGGCCGGCAGAGACAACGTACTTGCCAGCTGCGAGATCGGCAGGGATCGTGACGGTCTCGGTGATGTTGTTGAGAACATTGGACTTTTCTATACCACGTGTTAGAGAACGGCAAAGTATCAGCGTAGCCGTCTTGGAAAACATACCAGGTCCGAGGTAAAATGAGCCCAAGACGTTCTGACCGAGAGTTCCGGGGTAAGCGGAAGCTTCGGGGGCGATCCCAAAGGCAATGGCGATGTCTGCGACAGTCTGGATGTAGTTTTCGGTCTCGATAATGGCCTGGACCTCGTCACCGGCCTTGACGGTCTCGGGGAAAGCGATACCGTAGATGCGAGCGTTGGCCATGGCGAAGAGGCCGGCGGCGGCAGCGAGAGAAGCGCGGAACTGC